TGTATAGGCGTCAGGCTCGATGACAAGTCTATTATGCATATCCCTCACGCCAACATTTGTAATGACCTGACCAGGTGTAGCTGACTGATTTGTGGTAGGAGTGTTACTCAGAACTATTACCTTGAATGCGAAGACTCGACATTTCAAGTTGTGAAGTAGATGATGATGAAGGTTGTGAGTCTGCAGGGTTGTGAGTTCTAGTGCGAGAGACACTAGACGTTGGTCGATTAGCTTCTGGAGGCAGAACATTGTATCCATGTGGGATAACATACCCTGATGTCGTCGTCATCACTGGTACCTGAGGAGGCGGTTGAGTATATTTCAATGGTGGATGCATATAGGTCGAAGGAGGATTAATATTTGGAGTCACATGATTGTCTTGCTCGGTCTGCATAGAATAGCAATGTGGCGGAGTGTCTCTTGGTGGGAGAGATGTGTTGGTGTCTGATCTTATATGTATCCTTGTTGGTCGTCTACTAACCATACCATCTCTCTCTTTTTTTATTTTTGGGGGGATTATCAATATCTTTATTCATATTTCCACCTGCTATCTAATTAGTAACAAAAACATTCAAGTCAAAAAAGATTAGATATTTACGTAACAAGTAAAGTCTCAATTTAAATCAACTAAAGGTGAAACTAAATTAACTACGGGTGTATTTTGGTATATTCATGAATGTTTGTTATGTCATTTCATCTATAAAATAAGAGCAACTTTTAAAAAAAATTGAGTAAATTTCAAGTTCTCAAGTTCTCAGGAAATCAAGTTATGTAATTCAAGATTGGGGTAGAAGAGTTATGCACATATACATGTTCTAGTTATTATGATATTTTTTGGGATAGTTTTCATCTTACAGAGAAAGCATACAAATTTTAATATATTTTTTAAGTGTACTCAAAGAGAAGAAGAACATTACTTCATACTATTTACTATTCTTCCTCAACCTCATCCTCATCCTCGTCCTCGTCCTCATCATTATCCGCATCCTCATCCTCAGCCTCATTTTCATCTTCTGGTAATTCTTCTTCATCTATCCACTCTTCCTCATTAATTGATGCATTTTCCCTTTCATCTGTTATTTCTTCTATATCAACCTCTTCTAATATGTGTTCAGGATGCTCTAGATCATTTTTAAATTCAACATCCACGGTACGGTGAACACTTGATAAATCTGCTAGGATCGAATTCACGCACATACACTAGATGAATGAAGAACACGAGAACTTTCAAGAGAAAGAGATGAGAAATCTAGAGAGAGAAAGAGAAAACCCAATATTTCGTGGTAACACCCCGTGAGTAAACTTCCACAGCGGTGAGGTATATTTATTAATAAATCAGAGTATTTTTTGTTACAGAGAATAAATAGGAAAGCCTAAAATAAACAGTTACATATATTAATCAGGCTCCACTACCTAACAAAATTGTTAGAAAGAATATATAATTACTTAATTATGTTGGGTTATTGTGTAATTACTAATAGTCTACAACTACATATACTGTACAAGACTCTTATAATTGGTTAAGATTATTCATAATAATAATATTATATCATGGTATCAGAGCAAGGTTTATTCTTCCAAAACCCTAGCCTTCTTTTATTTTCCAAAGTCTGATTCATCATGGTGAAGACCACAGATCCCCTAGATGATCTCCCCACGGGGTTGAAACTTTTTATCAAAAATCTTCACTCTCTTACCCCAGAAAAATTGAATGATTCAAACTTTCCGTCTTGGTTCACCACCGCGTCTACAAATCTCTCCGCTCATCGACTCATGGAATACGTCGATGGAACCATGGAGGTCCCACCCGCCACACTCACCGTCACAGTCGACGATGATCCTGGAGCAGCGGCGACCACTGCAGTCACGCTCAATCCGGAATTCAAAAAATGGTCTGTTGTTGATGCCCAATTACGGGCGTGCCTCCTAGCGATTATCAGCCCATCCATTCAAAATCATCTCCATGGACTCACTTCCGCCGCAGCAATATGGAATCATCTTCAGCTTCGGTATAACTCTTTATCTCGCACTCATATATTTCAATTAAAGGAACAACTTCATGGTGTTCAGAAGGGTAGTGACTCTATGCAAAAGTATCTTGATTCTGTTGTCACGATTGTTGATGCTCTGGATCGTGCTAAATCTGGAATCCCAAATTAGGACATGATTTTGTGTGTTCTTCGAGGCTTGTCATCCGAATATGCGTCCATTAAACAAAATATTCGAACGAATATTGCACATGTGACGTTTGCTGAAGCATCGTCATGGTTACTCACCGAAGAATTGAACGTACAGATGGAACAGAAGTTGAAGGTTAGGGAATCCAGTGGATCAGCCGAACCACACACCGCCCTCTATGCTCAGTCTGGGCAATCTGCCGGTTATAGAGGTGGTCGTGGATGTGGTTCCAACCGGGGCAGAGGCGGACTCCCTAGTCGTGGTAACTTTTCAGGCGGTCGTGGGGGGTTTGTCGATAGTTTCCAGCACCGAGGCGACTTCTCGGGTGGTCGCGGCAGTTCTCTAGGACGTGGAGGTGGGCCTCCTTGCAGCTCCGTCATCTGTCAAATTTGTGGCAAACATAATCATGCTGTGTGGGACTGCTGGCATCGGTTTGATAACTCTTATTCTGGACCGTCTATGTCATCACCTCAAACCTTTTATGCCGCAAACTCTGTTGAATCCAATGGTAACTGGTTCCTGGATACAGGTGCTAATGCCCATGTAACGCATGACCTGTCTCGTCTCTACTCCTATACTCCATACTCTGGCAATGAAAGTGTCACTAGTGCAGGTGGCCATCCTCTCCCTATTGCTCATGTGGGCTCAGGTAAAATACCTACCTCTTCTGGCATTTTTCACCTTGGTAACCTTTTCCATGTCCCATCTCTCAAATCCCATCTCTTATCCGTTTATCGGTTCACCAAAGATAATAATTGTACCCTACTCTTTAACTCCAATGAATTTCAGATTCTGGACAACACCACCCACCGGGTGAGGTACAGAGGCCACTGTGAGCAAGGGCTTTACATGCTACCCTCCAATTATCAAGTGTCTGCATCTTTCGAGTCGTCTTCAACTGCTCGCTCTGCCATTCTCACTCCTCGAGATTGGCATCGTCGCTTGGGGCATCCCTCTGTCGAAGTCAATAAACATTTACTTTCTCTTTTTGGTTTTAATAAAATGTCAAATGTAACGTCTTGTGAGTCGTGTTCTGTGTCCAAGTTGCACAAACTACCATTTTCTTTATCATTTAATATAGCACTGTTTCCCTTTCAACTTATTCACTCTGATGTTTGGGGCCCTACGGTGGTCCCATCTTTTGGCGGTTTTCGGTATTACATTAGCTTTATTGATGACTTTACAAAATTTTCCTGGTTGTATCCCTTAAAACAAAAGTCTGAGGCGTTTGGAGCTTTCCAAAGCTTTCAATTCATGGTTCAGAATCAGTTTGGCACTACCATCAAATTGTTCCGAATTGACAATGGCCGTGAATATGTCAACAATCAGTTTGGAAATTTTCTCCAGCGTCTTGGCATCCTCCACCAGAAAATGTGTCCTTATACTCCTGAACAGAACGGGGTGGCGGAACCAAGCACCGTCACCTCATCGAAACCGTCATTACCCTTCTCCACACAGCTCGCCTACTAGTCACTTTCTGGGTTGAGGCGCTTGCTACTGCAAATTTTTTAATTAATCGTCATCCAAAAAAATCTCTTGGTCATATTTCTCCATATGAAAAATTATACAATACCGCTCCAGACTACTCCATTCTCCGTATTTTCGGGTGTCTTGCCTATCCCCATTTGCGTCATGAGGTGAATCATAAGTTACAACCTCGATCTAAACCGTGCGTATTTGTTGGCTATGAACCTCTTACCAAAGGTTATAGATGTTTCGACCCCACCACCCAGCGTATATATGTGACCCGTCATGTTCAGTTCCATGAAACTGATTTTCCCTATCACGCTTCGTTTTCCCAGCAGCCACCGTCCCCACCTTCATACTTTGGAATTCTTCCCCTTTTTCCTACAACAACCCCGACAGCTCCTCGCCCTGCTCATACGCCTCAGTCCTCACCAATGCAGCCAGCTATCACACCCGATCAACACCCGACACTTCCACTCCGCCAACACCACCCATCTCACATCAGTATGTCACACCAATCCCATCTCCGTCGGGACAGCCGACGTCAAGCCCGTCCAGCCCCACGAACACAGCAGAATCTGCACCCATCCCAATCCCATCTCCTCACCACCCCATGATTACCCGTGCCAAGAGTGGCATTTTCAAACCAAAAATTTACTCCTCTACCATTCCATATGATGCCCAGCCACTCACTGAACCCACAACATATAAACAGGTCGCTCAAAATAAACACTGGTGCACTGCTATGGATGCTGAGTTTGAGGCATTACAGAGACAGAATACTTGGGTGTTAGTTCCTCCTCCTCCGAACAAGTTTCCCATTGGCTGTAAGTGGATTTATCGCATCAAACGTAATTCAGATGGAACTGTGGCTAGATATAAAGCTCGCCTGGTTGCAAAGGGATATGATCAAGCATATGGGCTGGACTATTCCAAAACGTTCAGTCCAGTGGTTAAACAACATACAATTCGTCTTGTACTATCCCTCGCTATGCATCATCAGTGGTCGCTCCATCAGCTGGATGTTTCTAACGCCTTCTTACATGGTGAACTTGAAGAGGAAATCTACATGCAGCAACCCCCTGGATATATTGATCAACGATATCCTACTCATGTATGTAAGTTGGTAAAATCTCTCTATGGCCTAAAGCAAGCTCCACATGCATGGTACCCACACATCTCATCCTTTCTTGCGGCACAGGGCTTCACTACCACCACTAATGACACAAGTCTTTTTGTCAAACATTCAGCCACATGAATTCTTTCTACTCCTATATGTTGATGATATTGTTGTCACTGGTTCCTCCCCTACTCTCATCCATGATTTTATATATTGTATGCATCATGAATTTCAGATGAAGGATCTTGGCTCTCTCAAATATTTTCTCGGGTTGGAGGTTGAACGCACCAGTGATCGGCTTCTCTTACATCAGACTAAATATGCAGGGGAACTTATCCATTGGGCCAGCGTGGGCTCATGCACCACCGCACCTACTCCAATCAGCCCCAGCCAATCGACTAACGGCGCAGACGTGCCGTTCCAAAACCCACGACTATTTTGCAACTTAGTAGACGGCTTGCAATATTTAACTGTTACCCGTCCAGATATCCAGTTCGCAGTCAACTACGTGGCCCAGAAGATGCACAGTCCGATGGAGCAAGATTTTCAGACTCTCAAACGCATTCTTCGGTACGTCAAAGGCACAATTTTGTGTGGTCTTATTTTTTCCAGGGGAGACCTTCATCTTCGCGGCTACTCCGACTCAGACTGGGCTAATGATCCATTGGACAGCCGCTCGACAACAGGTTATCTCATTTACTTTGGACCAAATTTAATCTCATGGAGCACCGAAAAACAGAAATGGGTATCAAAATCCTCCACGGAGGCTGAATATCGGGCTCTATCCGCTGCAGCCTCGGAAGTCATGTGGCTCACCTATCTTCTAGCCGATCTTCATGTCTCCACTCCATCACCTAACCTGTATTGCGACAACAAATCTGCGATCTGTCTGACAAAGAATCGTGTCTTTCACAAGCGCATGAAGCATGTGGGAAAGGACTGCCATTTTTGTTCGTGAACAGGTAATTGATGGCGCCATGACAGCTGAGTATGTTTCCACCAAGGACCAGCTGGCGGATTTTCTCACAAAGCCGTTACCGTCCCAGCGTTTTCGGTATCTTCTCTCCAAGCTTCCTCTTGCTACCGCCAGACTCAGCTTCAGGGGGGATGTTAGACAGAATATATAATTACTTAATTATGTTGGGTTATTGTGTAATTACTAATAGTCTACAACTATATATATTGTACAAGACTCTTATAATTGGTTAAGATTATTCATAATAATAATATTATATCAAAAAATCATCATCTTGGTATGCAACATCTAACACGTTTTCAACTTCCACACTACCCATAGGTTTGATTTTAATCACCACCCACCAATCAGTTTTATCTGGACGCAAAGGATAAGGAGCATAGTACACTTGCTTAACATTTTGTGCAATAATAAAAGGGTCATTTGCTTCATATTTTCTTGTGTGCTTTAATTCAATTATATGATATTGTCTGATTTCTCTCGCACCTCTTTTTGTGGTTGGATCAAACCACTTGCATCTAAACAACACAATTTTTTTTTAGGCCAACCGGAATACTCCATTTCCAAAATCTCCTTGAATACCCCATAATAATCAACTCCATCTTGATTTCCATCATTGCCTTTCATTCAAACTCAACTATTGTTAGTTTTTTTTTTTGTATTTGGAGTATTCTTCAGTACTGAATTTAAAATCATTGACAATATACTTGTTCATCAAATAAATCTTGATGGGTCCCCAAGAAAGGTCCTTCAAAAATTGGTCAAATTGACCATTTTTGTGTCATAAATCTATAAATATTTGAAAAGTAGGAAATTAGCATCAATTAGATATAGATTTATTTAATAATGATAGTATTATGAAATTATTGTAAGGCTTACGTAATCATGAAATCACTTTGAGGAATGCTCAAATACTTTTTCATTGCCATATAAATGCACAAAGTAACTGTCAAATAAGATGGATATAGAGTTAATTGTTTTGCCTTGTAATTACATATTTTAGTGCAAAAAAAAAACTTACTCAAGAAATGGTTTAACTTGTGGGCAATTCAACAAGACATGTGTAGATGCAGACTGAAACTCAATGGCACTAAGATTCCTCCTCGTACATTTTTTTGAACCTTTGCCTGGTTGATTGAAGATTGGTAGTGGCTTCATAGTCTCACCACCATCGTCATGGCGATTGGGTCTATTTTTAAAGCATGGCACACAACTTTCAAAGTAATAAGAACCAAAATCAGTTATCTCCCTAGCAAGATGGAATTGAACCATTGAGCCTTTAAGATTTTTTTTTCATGCCCCGTTTAGACTTTCCACTAGTCCTACATTATATTATATTATCATTGATTTAAACAACATATTAATATAAAAATTTTAAGAGTTAAACACTTACCTCTCAAATGGATACATCCATCTATATTGAATCGGACCTCCGAGGCGTGCTTCATGCACTAGATGTACAGGAAGATGCTCCATCACATCAAAAAATTCAAATGGAAGAATCTTCTCCAACTTATTTGTAATTATAGGAATATTTTGATCCATCTGAACTAGGTTGTCTTCCCTTAACATATTATAACACAAGTCCTTGAAGAACAAACTGATTTTAGTCATAGGTTTCCAAATTCTATCGGACAAGCCACTAAATGCAATGGGGAGTAATGTTTCCATGAAGACATGACTTTTCATATAACGTAATTTTTCATGCTCCATATCGACACATTTACCTAAATTTGAAGCATGTGCATCAGACATCTTAAGTTGCTCGATCCATTAACATATTTTATGCTTTTGATCCAATGTAAATGAATAACTAGCCTTGGGCTTGAAGAATTAGTTATTCTGTTTCTTTTGCAACTGTAAATCTTTTCGCCTGCAATATTCTGGTAAGTCCATTCTATCTTTAATATTATCTTTTGTCTTGCCATTGACATCTATTATTGTGTTAAATAAATTATCAAAGTAATTTTTATAAATATGTGTGACATCAAGATTATGTCGAAGAAGATTATCCTTCCAATATGGTAACTTTCCAGAATATGCTTTGTTTTGTCCAGTTATATGCAACACCATATCCATCAAATTTGTAGGGTTATTCTTCTGTAACCTTTGGAAAGTGTTGAACCCTCTCCCGAACTTGTTCTCCAGTCAAGATTGGAGGAGGACAACCTTGTTCAACAATATTCTTTCTGAATGCATTTTTCATACTCCTAAACTCATGATCCATTGGCAAGAACTGTCGATAACAATCAAACCAAGAATTTTTATGATCATATTTTAAAGTGAATGATTTAGTATTTTCCATACAATAAGGACAAACTAACTTTCTCGTTGTCATCCACCCTGACAACATTCCATATGCAGGAAATCATTAATATTCCACATTAAGGCAGCCCGCAAATTAAAATTCTGCTTAAGAGACACATCAAATGTTTCAACCCCTTGAACCCACAATTGTTTCAACTCGTCAATCAAAGGTTGAAAGTATACATTAATCAAGACTTTTGGATTTTGTGGGCGAGGAATGACACAGTTGAGATATATATATATGGACTGGTCATACACATCTCAGGTGGAAGATTATATGGTGTTACAAATACAGGCCAACAAGAATATGGTGCAGTAGAAACAGAATGTCGCGTGAATACATCTGAACATAAACCCAATCTTATATTCCATGGTTCGGCTGCAAACTGTGGATATGTTCTATCAAAATGCTTCCAAGCCTCTCCATCAGATTGATGGCACATAACTCCAGGTGGTCTTCTATTTTCATGGTGTCATCTCATATGAGGAACAGATCTATTAGATGCATACAACCTCTTTAACCTTGGTATAGCAGGTAAGTAATGCATCGCCTTAGTAGGAACTTTCTCCCCACTAGCAGTCTGCTTATTATGAGATTTTCCACGAAACTTACACGATTTTAGATTAATATCATCCTTATAGAATAACTGCAACCATTTTCACAACAATGAATTCTCATCGATGACATTCCTAACTTTGATACTAACCTCTTTGTCTTATAGAAATTATTAGGTATTTCTAGATTTTGGGTCAACTAAATCATGAATAAGGTCAACCACAGAGTCCATTGCCCCTTGAGGAATATTCCAATTTGATTTGATGCTTAGTAATCTAACCACAATACACAACTGCGAATGTGAACTCCCCCATATAAAGGCCGACTAGCAGCTTCCAATTGTTCAAAGAAAATTTTGCATTCAGCATTAGGAGCTTCCATGCATTCTATAATTTTGTGCATTAGAATTCACAGTGCTACTACTTTCACCAGGAACATAAAATTGAAATATATCAAAACTATTATCAATTTCTCCATGACTAGTCCACACTGTGTATTCTTTTTTAAACCCATTTCAATAGATATGAAGCTCAACAATATCTGGTTTTTCATAATTCAAACATTGACATTTATTACAAGGACACTTAATCATACCACTACGTTGAAAAGGATCTAATGTCTTTGCATACTCCACAAAATCAGTGACACCTTCTACAAATTCAGGTCTTAGACCCATTCCACTAAAATTAGTCATATTATACATCCAACTACGATCAATCTACATAAAAATCACAAAATTTTGAATTTGTCAAACACTAGATTATGTAATTATTTACTGAAAATCAAAATATAATAATCCTTTTATGGATTGGTTAACGATGTGATAAAGAATAAATGTATCTTTGGTGACTACAAAAGTATAGTTCTCTTAACAGTTGTCATCTTAAAGTCAATTATAAGCAAAAACATCTAATCCATATATTTTTCAGTTTAAAACAACTAAATACATACAACGACATGAGCCAAATGATATTAGTTCTAAATTTGCATCAAAATTCACAACATCTTAAAGCCAAAGTAACAAGTACAACGAACCTAACAGAAAGCATATCCTTTTTTACAACGAATTTATAACTAACCGGAAGAGTCAATCGTAAGGCTGGTAGTAAGAGATGTCGGGGTCTGCATAATAAATTAGTATCCAATTATAAGTTAAATAATGTCTAAACATATCTACACATAAGCATAACTCATTTGACTCATGCAAATAAACCAATTAAACTCTCATTTCATTAAGGAGGAGAAGTGGGCATGTTATTACATTTGCTGGAAAAAGGACAATATGTAGCCACGACTGTTTGACCAAGAGAGCACACTTTATTACTCAATATAATAACTTTGACCGTGCTTCATTTATACACAGTTAAGCTCTCTGTATAAAAGTCCAAAATTAGAAAACGAGAGGACAGAGGAAGAAGTTTAAGGAAGATGGCAGCAGAACAGACCCAAAAATAAATGTATAATATGTACATAATTTACCATAATATGTTAATATGAGTATTCAGCTGACCCTATGTAATAATATAACAATAATTATATGAATCACTGCTCAGACTTTTTAATTGATTGAACTAACGCTGCCCACTTGTGCAATCTAATCTGCATCAATTATTGTCTTCTTATTTATGTTTAACAAACTAGCATAGCCACATATTCTAATACTTTGTGTTGGCAGGCAAGAGGTCAACCACTAGAGATTCGTATTACTAGACAGATAGTGGAGCAGAAACAAAATAAAAGATGAATAAAACAAATTCTAAGTTTACCACTACTAGCCACACAACTGATAATATTAGTTTACCACTAATACTTGAAAACAAGAACAACAAATCGCTAGTGTTTTTGCAGTAAATTTTTGCTCTATATATATGTATAATATTAGAACTTTTAAGCTTATGAGACCATATGATCTCAGAGGAAGTTTCTGCAGCAGCCTCAATCTCAACCAGATTTCATTTTGCCTATGAACTATTTTTTTGTGAAAATCTAGAATGATGTTCAACAAGATTATGCATGACGATTTAACAAGGCTTGCAACAACAAACCAATGGCCCATATGGGTTCTTAACAGATTATTGAAAGGCTTAAAAGCTAAACGTATCTGAAGAAGTAAATTATAGAGAAATATCCATTGTTGGATGTTATGACATTTGAGTTGACTATTTTTTTGTCCCCAATTGCATTTTTTTTGAAACCAAGTTTTTAGCATCGTCATGTTATGGTGATGGAGGCATTAGAAGCACATCCTACATTTAAATTTGTTTCCAGCTGACCTAAACAACCTAGAG